CCACCTCACCATATAAAGAATTTTGTTGTGTCGTGGTCAAATCATGTTCCCCGTGTACAGTGATACCTATGGTGATATTCTACTTCTGTAACACAGAATGCCTAGAACTGCCTCCTAGTAGTGTGAATACGATCAATAGGTATTCACAGGGACTCCAATGAATGTAAGCCATACATCAGATGTTATGGTCCTTGCTCCTGACATCTATTGTTATTTTTATATAAACCCTTTGAATAAAACATTGTATTTCAGGTCTCTTAAACAAATAAAATTTACGCCAATCCTTTTAACTTTAAGGTTTCCTCCTTAGGGGTGCCTGGGTGGCTGAAGTAGTCGACTTCAGCTCAGGTCATGATCTGGCAGTTCATGGGTTCGAGCCCTGCCTCAGGTTCTGTGCTGGCAGCTCAGAGCCTGGAGCCTGTTTCGGATTCTGTGTCTCCCTCTCTCTTTGCTCTACCCCTGCTCACGCTGTTTCTCTCTGTCTCAAACATAAAATAAAAACTATTAAAAAAAATTTTTTTTAAACAGATTTCCTCCTTATAATAGGGATCTTTGATATCATTGCCCCCTCTACACTACATATTTGCCTCACTAGTTGTAAAATTCTACTGGTAAAGTTTTTGCCTAGTCCTGAAATGGCACAAATAAAGACACTGGGTACAGACAACAGTCCAAGTCTTACAGAGCCCAAGAGGGAAAGAAACAAGAAAATGTGGGAGAATGATTCTAGAATAGCATTTGTACTTCTTGACATAATGCTCCTTTTTGGAGAAAAAAAAAAAGACTCATGACTTACAAAGAGAACATTATAATTACTAGATAATCACCAATCCAATAGGAATATAAAAGGTAAACAGGAGACCATATTTCATTTGGAAACCTTAACTGGCAGAAATTCTACCTTTATAGTGGATAAGGTAGAAGAAAAGAAGTTAACTGCAGCCTCCATAAATACACATTTTAACAAAAAGGCAGATAATAAGTAAAGGGAGAAGGAGAGCCCATTTGCTCAGAACTTCTGTGCCCTGATTTAAAGGAGAAATTTTATAATCTGCAATTTGCTAACAAAAGGGGCAGAAGGCATTAACCTAGATATTAACAAAGTGGTCAATTAATACTACCTTGTAAACATATGCCTTCATTTTTCCACCAAGGAAAATGATGAATAGTATGATGGAAAACAACAAAACAGAGTAGAATCCCTGATACACTCTTAGGTAGAAGCAATGAGGTAGAGGAAATAGGATTAACCTACCAGATGCATCCAAGCAGAGTACTGTCTCTTTCAAAGTAGTTGCCTTGGACAATTCTGATACGGTCAACATTTCTTAAAATTCCTATGTTAGACTTCCAGAGACTGTGCAAAGTATTTTTAAAATTTTTTTTTTTAATGTTTTTTTTTTTTTTTATTTATTTCTAGGAGAGAGAGAGAAAAAGAGAGAAAAGGAGAGAAAAAGAGAGAGAGGGAGTCACAGACTGAAACAGGCTCCAGGCTCTGAGCTGGCAGTCAGCACAGAGCCCGACGCGGGGCTCGAACCCACGAACCGCGAGATCATGACCTGAGCGAAAGTCGGACGCTTAACCGACTAAGCCACCCAGGCGCCCCAATGTGCAAAGTATTTTTAAATGCTAAGTTTTACCTCCATTCAGTAATGTTCCATGCAATTTGCAATTTCTTATACAGAAGAAACTGTAGTCCTGGCACTTGAAAAGTTTACAGTTTCAAGAAGGGCACAGATGTATGTATAGCTACTTTCATTATACTCTCTGCTCTGTCCCTGATTTTATCTTCTTGCATTATTGGTACAGTGATCTTCCTCCACTACACAAGCAAACACCTCTGAGAGCAGAACCCATGTCAATTACCTTTGCACCACCTCTACAAATGCCCCAGCAAAGTAATCTGTACAGAGTGTGCATTTAACAAGTGTTGGCTCAGGGAGAAAATGTCTTTTAATAATGACACCTGTTCAGCAAAATTCACCATAAGGCAGGTTTGCCTTGAAGCCTATCCAAGGGCATTTAGTTACTGCAGTACCTAAATAGTCTCTCCTATGCCAGCCCTAAGGTCACCACGGCACTGAGGCTTGGATTCTGAAGGTGTAAGAGCAAAAGCGTAAGCCCAACTTGCTCCCAATTACTATCTAAATGTTATACATCAATAGTATCAAGTACATCCCTATTGATTACATGGGAGAAAAATCCCTCCTTCAAGAACTGATCTCATCTACTAGCTCATCAAACTACTGTCTCACTCCACCAGGGTAATTTTGAAGCCACAACAGGAGTCCAGATGGTAATCGATATGCTCATTCCTACTGAGCTTATTATGATGGTTACCCAACAGCAGAGTACCTGGAAAGATACTACTTGTTAGGAACTCAGAGAAATTCTTGACAGAAGCATTTTGCGTATTGAATTTAGATAGCACGCTTTTTTCCTAGTAATGACAGAATAAAGACACTAAGCATGAAAACCAAGTTTGGGTACAGGTAGCTGATTAGACCAGAAAAGAAAACAAAGTGATTGGTCATCTTAATAGTCACACATAGAAGATATTCTGTAGGTCATCTTGCTATGATGCTTTGAAAATAATTTAGAAACTACAAGTCCATTATAAGTTGCAAAAGATGGTATAGGCAATTGGTGAGTTAAGAATGATATTCAGAGCAGGCAATAACATTTATGTGGGGAAGGACAGCTGAAATCGTCTACGAAGCCAGGTTACTACGCTTCCTTGCAGGAAAAAGGCTGTCTGCTCCATCAGGCCCTTTTTAAAAACCACATTCATTTTAGTACCTGACCATATCTGGCACCAGGAAGCAATTAAGGATAGACAAAGTAGAAAGGACAATTCAGAAGATCACAGCTCTACAGACTCAACTGTGTTGTCCGATAAGATGGTAGTCACTAAAAATCAATTAAAATTAAAAAATCAGTTTCTCAGTTAATAGTGTAGCTGTATTTCCAATGCTACCAGCTCTACGTGGGAGTAGCTATCATACTGGACAGTTCATACATAAGAATATTTCCATTCCTGTTCTACTGACAGACAAAGCCAGATTTGAAAGTGGACATTCTAACGGCTCAGACAGTTGAGAAATGCTGAGAAATTCAGAACCAAGTCCATGGTCTTACTCACTAGGAATCATTAAAAATTTCCAAGGTTGTTTGTTTATGCCTGAGTGTTCTTATCAACATAAGGTTTTCCTTCTAATCTTTTTCTTCTTTTTCCCTTTGATACTGGGAAAAGAAAAGTGGCAGGGGATCAGAAACTCCTTAGGTCTCTCTTATCCACAAAGTTGCACAAATTGCCAAATAAATATATTTTTAGAAGTAACTACTTACCCTACCCTCTTTCCCTTTAAATAAAATACTAAAGGCAATTGGGAAAAAAAACACAGAAGAGAGGAATTCAAGAAAACTACTTAGAACAAAATAGATAGCTATCCTAAACCACTGTTTCAAGACGCCTAAGGGAAAAGTACATAAATCAAGAAGAACATTTCCAAAAATACACAGTGGGCACAGTTCAACAGTTCCACATTAATTTAGAAAGTTAACACCTCCTAAGAGGCCAGCTGATTTTCTACTAACAACTGAAAGTACTGGGTTTTCATCAAGAGCACACTCTGGTTCAACTGTCTAATTCCTGGGCAAATAAAACAAACACCTTTGTCAGCTTCCATCCATGACACTGGTAAATTCCTGAAGTCATTTGGTTCTAAGATAGAAGCTATGTCTGATAGTAAAATTAAAATCAACTACATCACTAAGGTTCTGTTGATTTAAAATTCCCTGTAACCAGTCTTTTAAAAGTGAAATAAAAATATACTTTGGGATTTAAAGTAGACAGTTTCCATTATACTTCAGAAAAGCAAACTAAGACTCATTCAAGAACCAGGAAAAAGAAAGCCAGTCGTTTTCAAATACTGGATTCTATTTAAACATTCATTCTATCAGGGCTTCAACATTTGCTTGCTGCTCTGCTCTGCTACTGCTCTGTACCACACAGAGGAAATTTGATATCTCAGTGGCAGAATAATTTGAATGCAAGCTAAATTTTAATCAGCACATAGAAACAACAAAACTGATAACCTATCAGCTTATGAGACAAATGGCTTATGCATTTTGGGGAAGGAGGTTGCAAGAATTAGGATACTGGGGGAAAAAAATTTAATGCAAGCCTTAAAATCCTTCTTCAAAAACGCATGATGTTGCCATCTCTGACAATTACAGCTCTTGGAGGGTAGCTATCAGACAATGCTAAAATGATGCAGTGCACAGGGATTCAAGAAGCCAGGCAAAGCTGCTGCTCCATTTCATCGTTATGAAAGAAAGGTACAAGAATCAGACCTCTCCTTTCTGCATCCAGCACATTCCAACCTCCAGACCGATGTTCAGCAGAGTTACCATCAGAAGTTATAAAAGGTCATGCTTCCCCTTCCCTGTCCTCTAACTTTGCCCCCTACAGTGCTGTTCAATGTTTATTTACTTCTTTCTCTCTAGCTCATTTCAGAACAGAGAAAGAAGGAACATCTTGACCCTCCGCCCTTGCAAAGCACTCACTCTTAGGTCACTTCATCTAACTCATCCCCTTTCAAGGAGGAACTCTGCTCATTAAACAGAAATCACCAGTGCACCTAAGCAAGGTAGGAGATGTTCGTTTAAACCTGGAAAAGTCCCATTTCCTCCTCCTGGTAAGGACGTGTCATTGGTAACTGTTCAAATGAGCATGTGAAAATTAAAGATCGCTAAGCCAAGGAAGTAGCTTATATCGAAAAAAAGGCAACTGATCTGAAACCTACCAAATCTGCAAAATCTGTTCTGCATTTCATGCATACACAGCTCTACAGAATGTGTAAATACCACTAGAAAACTGTGCTAGGAGGTCACAAGCACTCCACACAGCGTGCACCACAGTTTGTAAATGTGCTACAGGCAGTGTCGGAAATGGGGGCTGGCTCCGGTTCCAACCAAAGGGTAGAGCTTATGCATACCTTTAGGTCTTCGGGAATTTCCATTCTTTTGCTGTTCATCTTCCTCATTAATGGTGAATAAACCAAGGGGAATTGGCCTTGCACTGGTCTTCTTCAGTCTCTCTTGTCGGATAGCTGTAGCTGATCCAGGCATACCGCGGCTACTTGTTTTTTAATTATTATTATATTAAAAATATATGCTTATGTAATTGCAGCTCCCAGGAAGCTGCTAGTTTCTAAGCTGCCGGTTCATTTGAGCACTTGTAATAGATCCCCTATGGGTAAACAGTGTGCAAACAGCTGACAGATACTACCAGCCACTTGGCAACTGAGGCCTTGCAGTTCCCCCTCACCTAGCAGCAACCTCCCCCCACTCCCCGCCCCGCCCCCTCCCACTCACTCCCCCCCAGGCAAGTGGCTGGCTGGAGCTCGCCGGCCGGCACGCGCTCTCACACACGCACGCGCGCTCTCCTTCCGGAAGAACCCCGGGAAAGGCACGCAGGGGCAGAAGCCTCCTTCCACCGCCTAACCTGTCCAGTCAGATCCCAGCTTCTTCCTGCCGCGGCACCTTTGCCCAGGCTTCCTGCCACCGCACAGTAAGGTATTCGGCACACGGCACAGAGGGAAGACCGGGATATGCTGTCCTGTAAACAGTTGCCCTGACAACCGGGCCGGGTCCTAGTCCGGGAGGGAGGGCCGGGAGCAGCTCCGGTCCGCCTGGAAGCGCGGACGGCTGCGGGATGCTGGTCCGGGAACTCTCCGCAGGGCAGAGGTCCGGAGCCGGGGAGGGGGCGCCGGCGCGCGCGTGGCTCCGGCTTCCTTTCCTCTCTGCCCGCCCGGCCCGGCTGCAGCCCCGGAGAACTGTCGCCCTGCCTGCACAGGCAGCGGGGGACTCCCCAGGATGGGGAAGGGGGTTCAAGGCAAGGAGTCTTTCTCTGGGTTTTCGATCGTGACAACGTCCGCGAGTCCCTGGATGGAGGAAGGCTCAGCTGGACGCCCGCGGCTCACTGCGCACAGCATCACATCCCAGCTTTCCGGAGGTCCCTATAACCTCCGAGTCGGCGCAAACAGGCTGGGGCCATGAGGACCGACACTGCCAAGCACCTGAGACCATCCAGGGAGCACACGCAGGGGGAGAACCAGGCCTGTTCTCACCAAGACCTCAGTTTGGAATACCCCTTCTGCAAGTCAAGTTGAAAGAGAAATGAGAAACTACAGTCCACCTAAGGGGGGAAAAATCTGCCTCAGAGACATCCAGCCAACTCCCCCCAGTTCCCACTGCTCTGGGCGAGTCACTACTGGCAGTGCTGAGCAATTCTCAACACTTGACCCACTTTTAGTTCTTTTTTGGACTGTTTTCTCCAAAGCATACAATCATGTGATTATTGTTTTCTTCTGAAATGAACTTTCTCACTTAAGACTCTCTACTTCTAGGCTGCCTGAAATTTAGGCTGTATGTGAAAAAATTAAATTTACAGTAAGTGACACAGATGCCAACTGCCAAATTAATAATTTTTGGTTTTTTTAGGTTTGCCTCTTAATCAAAACCAAGTCTGCTTAGAAAGTCCAAAACAATCCTCCAATCCCAGACCACTCTCCTACATTTTCCTTACCCAAGAGGGGACCCCAAGGACTCTATGCCAAGCACCCTATTTTTTTTAAGTTTATTTATTTATTTTGAGAGAGAAACATGGAAGTGGGGGAGGAGAGACGGGGAGGGAGAGAGAGAGAGAGAGAGAGAGAGAGAGAGAGAGAATCCCAAGCAGGCTCCACGCCTCCAGCACACAGCTGGACACAGGGCTCAAACTCTGGAAACCAAGAGCTGGACGCTTAGATGACTGAGCCACCCAGACACCCCCAGGCACCCTCTCTAAATCCTTTGAATGGAAGAATAACTTGTGACAATTCACTTAACTTTTCTTACTGTCCCAGTTTCCACTGCAAAATTGGGTGACATCACTTACCTTACAGGATTGGGGAGGGGATTAAATGAAGCATACCGGCAGCAGGGAGAAGAGCTTATACATTTCACCTGCTTTTATATTATAATACACCAGTTGTAAGTACTCCATTTTTGCTTTGTATTTAAAGTGTTTCCAGTCCAACTATCAAGTCTATCAAGCAATAATTATTGTCCAGCCCACTGCTGGAGATGTACTAGATGGTTGGCAAACCCATGCTGGGGAAAAAAACAAAACAAAACACTTCAGAAATCTTTCGTTCGAAGGCTGGGGGATTCAGTTAGGCGTTAGACGTGTAGACTGGGGAACTGCAGGGAATTTCAGGTATTAAGTTTACTTTAAAATCATGTTCACCTGTATCATAGGTACTTGGAGTAAGAGCGAATGGGACTGCATGGGTCTGAGAAACCATCTAAAATCAATGTTTTACATGCAGGGAAAACCAAGGCACAGGAGGTGAAATTCCTCAGGTCAAATGTTAGCTTCCAACAAGTCTGTGGTGAAAACGTAGATCTCCTTCCTCCTAGGCCAGCACTTCTCCTTATGATGAATAGTGGCCTATATCGTTTAGGATCGTAGATCCCGCTCACCAGCTTCTCACAGAGAAGCAAGATGTGGAGCAGGAAAGGGAGGATCCGTGCTCCAATTGTGCGAGACCTTGTAGTGTAAGAAATAAACAGTAGATCAGCCTACTTCCATTAATTCTATCTGGTAATTCTATTTCCGAATTAAAGACAATTTGTTATTTCCTGTTTATTTCTTTAATCAGAAGATCAGTAAGCATAGTCCAGTTTTATAACACGCATATTTATAAGAATCTTTTAAAGTCTAGTTTGTTTCTTCTACTTCCGGAGAATCAGGTTAGTACTTACACACACACAGTTGAACCTACCTTTTGGCAGAAAAAGTAAAAAGCTATGGCTCAAGCAAACAACAAATTTCATTCAGAAATGTTCCTTACCCAGGTACAGCTAACAGCTTCTGATCATCTCCCTGGATCTAACAAAAGTATTACTGAAAGTGGTAAGGTTAAGGAAAAAGGGAGCTTTTCCTTCATCTTAAAAAAAAAAAAAAGTTTATTTATTTTGAGACAGAGTGAGCGTCTGTGCAAGTTGGGGAGGGAAAGAGAGAGAGGGAGAGAGAGAATCCCAAACAGGCCCGATGTGGGGCTGGAATTCACACTGTGAGATCATGACCTGAGCCCAAATCAGATGCCTAACCGACAGCCACCCAGGTGCCCCCTCCCCTTCATCTTTCAAATTAAAAAAAAAAAAAAAAAAATGAAAGGATAGCGTTTATGAAGTATCCTAGGAAGAAAATGAAACAGCTTACCAAGAGTGGCTTTTAAAAAGTCAAGGGAAAGCTGAAATTCAAATGACTTCTGCAGAAGATGTACATTCCTTTACTTTCAAGGATGGCCTGGATGGCTTTTCTCCTCTTTTACAGGAGAAACATAGCAGCAAAGCAAAAGCTTCCTAGTGTTTAACTTGTCCAGATAAGATTTCACAAAGGAGCCCTCCCTGAGGTCTGTGGAACAGAGATCACAGAACAGCCCTTCTGGTACACAGAGGACTCAGCCCACCTCTACCACACCTAGCTACCTAATCAACTCTCTTCTGTTAACAGCAGTGGAATAAACCTCAAATGACAGAGATGGTATTCTCCATGCTCTAGGGTCTCGTGAAAGTCACCCAAGTGGCTGTTTTGAAAGTTATGCTTCAACCATTTACCAGGGAAATGAAAGCCTAATCAAAGGAGGCCAAATGTCACCACCATCCTACAACCCAAGAGGCAGGGTGAGGTCAAGTGAAAGAATCTCATTATCCAGAACATCTCCAGCTTTGTCAGATAGGTTACCTAGTCACAACAGCACTGAGAGCAGGGTCATCGCCTGACAGATCAGGAAACTGAGGCTCAGAGATGTTAAACTCACACAGCTAGTTGGATCTCTGAGCCAGGATTAACTCATGGCCCATCTGCTCTGAACATATGATGCTTTAGTCCTGCTGCCTTGTAAATCCCGGCTGCAACATCGACTAGCTGTGTCCCGGTCACAGCTGTGACCAGCCACAGGGGAGCAAACAGCCCAAGATCAAACAATTATAATAAAGGATTTTTTTTTCCTATCCATGAAATACACATTTAAGGCCTAAATACATTTGAGATTAATTTCCTAAATGCTCAAACCCAGCCTTCAATGGATATAGGTTTTTAACTTTATTTCATTTGAGGAATACTGGGGCTTAGCCCCTACGGAGGCACGGGGCTGCAGTCTTCCTTTTATTCCCGGACCCAAAACAAAAGCAGATGTGGAAAGGGGGATGGCCAGACCCGAAAGTAAAAGGAATCCTACTCTGAATTCCTGAACTCTTCCCCAGCACTAATAGGTGTTTTTGATTTGATGTGGCACATGTGTCCCTGAATGTCACCTGCAGGTGACATCTTCATTAAGTCCCCATGGGAACCGATGTATGTAGACTTCCAAGAGTCAATTAGGTTTTGCAACTATTAAATTGTTAAAATAACCAATGATATATTAATGGAGACTTAGTACAAAGTAGGAAGAGACGTTGCCCAGTGAGGAAGGGTAGATTTTATAACTAAGCTAGCTTTACTAGAGAAAAATGTTTGCAGCATAATCATAAAATATATTCACAATCATACATGAAAATGATGCCACCCATCTGCTATGAAGGAAATAGGACAACAGGTCCTTGAGGGATTGCTGTTCCCACCAATTCCCACCCCCAGCCCCTATTCCCTTAGGACGCAATGGATTTATGTCTGGTTGTCCCTCTACCCTGGCTACCTGGCACCTCTGGCCTAACCTCTAAACATGAGGTAGGTGAATATGAGACAGAGTCAAACTAATTGATCGTAGGGGAAGTCATCTCACGATTTGGACCTGCCTGCCACGATGTTCTAGAAAAAGAAACACATGTAAGCACATGTGTACACACATACACTTCAGGTTTCTGTTCACATTTATCCTTCCTAAGCTTTTGTTTTATGGCCTTAAAATTGGAAAATAGCATATAGCCTACAAATGGATCCAAAAACATCCTCTTGCAAAGAGAAATGTGCTTAACCAGTGAGAAGCATACCTAGATTTTCCCTTCTAAAAGCCTACTGAGCTTTACAAAAACTTTAGAGCATGAGTTATACTAATCAAGGACTGTAGCTGAAAATAGAAAATTACTACTGCTGGACTGAATGGCCAGTCACTGGTAAATTACAGTTCTATATACATATAAGCCAGTTACTTTTCAGTGGGACCCAAAAGTGCCTAAATGCCTTTTCACGTTTTTACATTAAGAGGAGAGGATTAATGCCTCAAAACTACTAGATTTCAGTAATCTTTCAAATATTTAATGC